TCACTTGGTAGCCCAGGCTGGCCTCGAACTCACAGAGATCCGCCTGGCTCTGCCTCCCGAGTGCTGGGATTAAAGGCGTGCGCCACCACCGCCCGGCTTGATGGGGAGACTTTTAAATGTGTCCAACTAAAGCAACTCAACTGCCCCAAATCCCTTCTAAGCCACTGTGTTGACCAGGGAGGCTGATTCCACCTTATTGACTGAGTCGGGGTCTCTCCATTAAACCCAGAGTTTGCCGATATGGCTAGTCTTGCAACCAGCTTGATCTGGGGATCCCCTGTCTCTGCCTTCCATGGAATTATGTGTTGGCCACCATGCCCTCCCACCTGTCTGTCACACTTGCTTGGTAAGTGCTCTGGCTGAGCCATTTCCCCAGCTCCCGGAGCACAGGGGGTACGTGATGCTCTGGGAAAACGTCCCCAAAGATGGGACACTAGAGTCAGCAGAAAGACATGTTCACACCAGGCAGGAGAGCTGTCGGGGAAGGCAAGGGAGACGAGAAGGGAGAGGCCCCTCACTCTTCCCAACTTCTATTTTGGTCTCTCCCTGGCTGACACTTGCAAGTTTTCATCATAGCAGACAAGCTCATCTGCAAAAGGAGCTGTACTCTTTCTGAGAAATGTCACATACGAGACTGCTAAAAATTTCAAATGAACTATGCCTCAAGTCCAACCGCCTTGGGGCACATGTATAAGGAGTCCTTTGATGTATGTTTTCTCTCCTAACTCCCTTCCAGCTGCAAGCCTTCAGAGTACAAAAAGAAAAGGTCTCTTCGAGGACAGAATTTTGTGGGTAAGGAAAATAAAATATTCCAGGACATGGTTTTTTCCTGACATCTAAGTTTAGCCCTAGATTAAGTAGCTTTAAAATCCCAGATCACATATATAGCTGAACTACTTAGGCACATCCCCCTCTTAATACCTGCACTCGATTCTCTTCCAGTGCACATCTTTCTGCTTCATAAACAAACTCGCTAACTTGCCCTGCTCTTGGGGCAGGAAAGATGGCTCAGTGGTTAAGAGTGCATACATACTGCTCTTGCAGAGGACCTGAGTTTGGTTCCCAGCACCCACATCAGGCAGCTCACAACCACCTGTAATTCCCGCTCCAAGAGATCTGATGCCCTCTTCTGGCCTCTGCAGGCACTGCACTCACATGCACACCCCGACCCCCCAGGTACATATATATACATAATTAAAAATAACATCTGTGGTGGATGTCAAGGACCAGGGTGAACCTGAGTAGAGTCCCCCAGGCTCTGAGTGGGGCTCCTTAGGTTAGACTGCTGGCAGTATTGAGTTACATTTCCAGGTGCTGGTGACACTTGAGTTGGTTATAAAAGGTCTGGGGGCTAGAGGCTGGAAAGATGGTTCAGTAGTTAAGGGCACTTGCTTTTCTTGCAGAGGGCTTGAAAAAGCAAGGCCATCCCAAAGCAGGCACAGTCATGCCTAATGATAACTAGAAGACCAATGTTTGAATATGCAAAGAAGATTCTAGAAGAGTATACAGTTAGCTGGGAAGGGAGAGAGCTCTTACTTAACAAGTGGGATTCTCCCCTTTATACAGCCATATTTTAATTTTCACTATAGGCATGTGGTATGAAAAGTTTTACAATCACCAAAAAATTTAAGAAAAAAAGATGCCTAGGGCTTGTTGCTTCACCAACCCCCTGGGACCCCCGCCGGGGACAAGGGACTTCTGGATCCCACCAGTGTGGCCAGAAGGAATGCTGCTTACCCGAGGCCCTGTGGCTCCATCTGCACCTGGGTGGCCGGGCTCCCCCTGTGGAGACACATGGATGTCTGCTGGTGTGTGAGATTCCTATGCTCCATCTCACCTCCGTCCCCTCTTCTCCAAAGAGGCCAGCGCCCATGTGCTGGGGCCTCATAGCCCGTGTAGAAGAGCAGCCGTCTACACTGAGCAGTGGTGGAGATTCTGAGGCCCAGGAGCCCAAGACTACATGATAGCTTACCCCAGAGCTGGGCCTGAATGAGGCCTTGCCGCTGGCTCTGAACCATGGACCACCCTCCCTCAGACCACCCTGCTTGTGAGTCAAAGGGGACCCCTGGTCCAGGCCCTCTGGGACTTGCTCTTTAAAAGTGCAAATTAAGAGGTAAAATCACGCTGTCCCCTGGTGACTGGGTGACAGTGTCAATGGGGTCTTCAGGTACTAGGCGGAGCATTGTGATATCACCTTCAGTCCTGGGGCACCGTCCGCTCCATTCTCTCCTTGGGGCCCCACATCCCCTGGCTCACCCTGAAATGGAGAAATTAACAGTGAAAACAAGCAAAGGTGCTAGCCTGGGGCCACTGGGCCTTGTGCTCAGGCCTCCTGGTGAATGTGGTCCTTCTGGGCTGGGGGATGGAGCTCAAAGCTCTCGCTAGCCTGAGGGGTTTAGGACCACGACCATCCCCTTTTGGTCTGGATCTTGGCACACACCTGGGGTAGCTCAAGAGACTTTGCAGGTGCACATATATGTGAGTGCACATGTGAGTGCACATGTATGTGAGCACACATGTATGTGTGGAAGTCAGGGGGACTCTGAGTGTCGCTCCTTGAGCACTATCTATAGTTTCTTCTGTTCTTGTTTTTGAGACAGGATGTACCTCCCTGGCTTGGAACTTGCTGCATAAATAAAGCTGGCAGCCAGCAAGGCCCAGGGAGCTGTCGGTCGGTCGTCCTCCTTAGTGCTGGGCAGCCACCGTGCCTGCTTCCTTAAATCAATAAATTCCCATTTTGAATTTAGCTTTTGAGACAGCTCTGGCTGTCCTGGAGCTCACAGAGATCTGCCTGCCTCTGCCTCCCGAGTGCTGGGATTAAATGAATGTACCACCGCACCTGGCCCCCGCCTTTAAAAAAATGTGGGTTCTGGGGATCAAATTCACATCTCTGTCCTTGCAAGGCAGACATTGGACTGACAGCCATCACTTCAGTCTCTTGGGCCTCTTCTGAGTCAGAGTCTCACTTTGTAGCCCAGGCTGGCCTCAAACTCAGATCCTCCTGACTCAGCCTTCTGAGTGGTGAGATGATGGGTGTGTGCCACCATGAGACAACTTGGAGGCAGGCTGGCTTGGTGGCTCTTGGTGGCTGTGACAAAGGGCTTGGGGCACAAGGTGTGACGATAGCATCCTGTCCCCAGCTTGGCACTAGGCAGGGCATGGAGGGACTAAGGTGGGAGCCGAGAAGACTTCGGGTAGGGGAGACAGATGGTCTGGATAAGCAGCCAAGCTGCGGCCAAGGTGTCCAGGGCCCACTGCTTCCTCCCTCTGGCCTGTCCTGGGAATTGGCCCAGAGCCCCATGAAGTGAAAGGGCCCGGAAAGGGGCACCTCTAGGTAGATGGCAACTTTGGAGGGTGAAGGGTAGCAGACTCTGAGGAAGAGGGCTGTGTACTTACCTTGGGCCCTGGGGGTCCAGGGAGTCCTGGCTGGCTGGGCATCCCATCATCCCCCTGAGAAGATAACAGCTGAGGCTGAAGCCACCGCACGTGGACATGTGGGCCACACTTTTGAGTGGTCCAGCTGGCCCCGACCTGCTCTAGACTCACGGCACACCTGTCTGGTCCAGGCGCTAGTGGCAGGGTCCTCCCCGCACTTAGCCCTCTAAGGCAGGGCCTGAGCAGAACCATCTCAGTCCCTACAACAGCCTAGAACCAGCTTCAGTAGGGTTTCTGTGGACACGGGATGGACAAGTGAACGGGAGCAAATTCACCAGTCAACAAAGAGCTGGTGAACATTCCTTAGGGACCAGAGCACACACAGTCCCTGATCTGTGGACATGAGGGTTAAAACAGAAGGCACTGTGCCTACCTAGCACATGGGGAGGGACCTAGGGACAGCCAGCCTTCTGGGGCATGGGGCAGTTTTGCTGAGACTTGAATGGGAAGAGGCAGCCAGCTTGTCACAAAGCAGAGAACATTCCAGGCCCGTGCTCAGTTCTCAAACCAGTGATCCAGAAGGCTGACTAGAGAGACCCCGGCCACACCCCAAAGTCTCAGGTGGGCCTCGGGTGAGCTGCAGTTTGCTTTCCTTCTCCCTCCCCTCCCCTCCCCTTCCCTTCCTTCCCCTCATCCCCTCCCCCTTTCTCCTCTTTCTCTATCTTCCCCTCTTCCTCCTTTTGATGTAGGGTTTCATGTAGCCCAGGCTGGCCTCGAACTCACTACGTAGGCAAGGATCACTCTTCTGCTTCCACTTCCAGAGTGCTAGGATTACAGGTGTGCACCACCACACCTAGCTTACCCTGTGCTGCGGGTCAGACCCAGGGCTTTGTGCTCCTCGGACATTCTGCCCCCAAGCTACTTCCCTAGCAACCAGAATTTGCATTTCTGACAAGACTCCAAGTGATGGTGACAGTGCTGGGGATTCGAACCTAGGTCCTCATGCTTAAAGAGCAAACATTTTAACCCACTGAACCATCTCCCCAACCCCTAGCAAAGGAGATTTTTAAGACAGTGAAATTCTGTTAGGTATGTTACTGGAGGGTACAAGTCACTACACACTTGTCCCACAACAGCACTAGGCACCCTCCTGTGAACGGTGGACTTCGGGGGACAACGTGCCAATGTAATTTCTTCAGTTGTGACACATGTACCACTCTGACGGGGGATGCTAACAACAAGGGACGCTACATGAACTACACATATGAGAGGCAGAGGTGTGGGGGTGTGGGGTGGTGTGGTGGGGTGTGCGGGCCATACAAGAAAGCTCTGTACCTTTCCTTCAATTTTGCTGTGAATCTAAAACTACATAGAAAATAAAGTATTTTTAAAAACCAGAACTGGGCAGTGGTGGCGCACGCCTTTAATCCCAGCACTTGGGAGTCAGAGGCAGGTGGATCTCTGTGAGTTCAGGGCCAGCCTGGTCTACAGAGTAAGTTCCAGGACAGCCAGGGCTACACAGAGAAACCTCGAAACAACACTACCACCAAAACCAACCAACCAACCAACCAACCAACCAACTAACCAACCAACCAACCAACCAACCAACCAACCAACCCCACAAGCAAACAAAACAACCCCCAGCCCCCAAACCAAAAACAACCACAAACCCCTACAGCCAAGGTGTCTCGTGATTCAACTCTTACAACTTGATGTGAAGTCAAGGCAGGAAAGATAGGCCATGCCCCCATTTAACAGGTGAGTAAACTGAGCCCTACAGTTGCAGTGACCTGTCTCTCCTTTGAACTGAGTCTCTTAACCTCCCTACCTCAGTCTCACTGGGGGAAGTTGGGAGAAGGTGGGGAGCGAGGCGAAGGAGCAGAAGGGGTGCTGAGCACTCACCTTGGGTCCTGGAGGTCCCTTGGGGCCCTGGAACAAGAGAAGGGAGGTGTTAGAAGGGGAGTGAAGGCAGGAAGGTCAGGGTTCGAGTTCAAGGTCATCCTTGGCTACATAGTGAATTTGGGGCCAGTCTGGGATACATGAGACCATGTCTCAAAAACGCCAAATCAGGGCTGGTGAGCTGACTCAACCAGTAAAGGCACCGACCGGATGCCGAAGCCTGGAGATGATCTTAGTTTAATCCCTGGACCCACACATCGGGAGGAGAGAACCAACTTCTCCAAGTTGTCCTCTGATTTCCATGTGGGTGTAGTGGTGTGTGAGTGCCCCACACAGATACAATCATGCACGTGCACACTCACACACACACACACACACACACACACACACACACACACACACAATCATAAAAATAAAAAAAAAACCCAAATAAAACAAAGGAAAAGAAAACCAATACCCAAAACTAAACAAAAGAAAAAGAAAAGCCAGGGAGCTGGAGAGATGGCTCAGCGGTTAAGAGCACTGGCTGCTCTTCCATTGGTCCTGAGTTCAATTCCAGCATCCACACGGCAGCTCACAACTGTCTGTAACTCCAGTTCCAGGGGACCTGACACCCTCACACAGACACAACAACAATGCACAGAAAACAAACAAAAAGAACAACAACAACAATACCCCCAGGCCCCCCCAACAATGAAGGATCTGAAGCCCTTTTCAGGGCTCCAAGGGAACTATGCACCCATGTGGTACACAAATGTATATGCAGGCTAAAGATCCATATACATTAAATAATAAAATGATAATAAATGAAATAAAAAAAGAAAACCTAAACCAAAACAACAAAACACCCCCCCCCCACCAAAAAAAAAAA